CCTCCCTCCCTCCCTTCCTTCCTTCCTTCCTTCCTTCCTTCCTTCCTTCCTTCCTTCCTTCCTTCTTTTTTTTTTTGAGGGGGGGAGAAACATTGATCCATTGCCTCCCGTATGAGGGATTGAACCCACAACCTAAGTATGTGCTCTGACCAGGAATCAAGCCTGCAATCTTTTGTCGTAAGGGCCATGGCACAGCTCAGGCTTCTCGAACTCAGGTCTGACCAGAGGCCCCAAAACCTCTCCACCCCCAGGCATCCTGGCTTCCTCCCGATTTGCTTTTAATATGAAGATGACGCTAAGAGGATGAGATTTGCTTTGAGAATTGCGCCTGGTGTCTAGTTCCTTTCAGAATGCACTCTCTTCATTTCAAGGGTGCATCAGGACTAGAGGAGTATCACCTTTATTCATCCAAGTCAACTTTAGCTCTCACTCATCAGTTTGGAATGGGTCAAACCTTTCTCATTTATTTTTAGGTCTTTCTTCAGATGTGGAAATTCTTATTGCATTTGATCCTATAGACATTAGGGTAAGAAAATGAAGGCACCAAGTAGCATTTTCAACTTGGTCATTCTGAAGCAGTATTCAACTTTTAAATTTGGAGGGGGCGTAGCAGTTAATTTTTTAAAAGTTCCTACAGGTTTTACATCATAATACATACACCTGTGCATTCACCAGGCAATTAGTAATGCCCACCTGAATCCTTAACTAACTCATTGCACCCTGTTACTTTCTCATATCTGTAACCCCAACAACATCCTCTGCACCCCTCATTCTTTATTTCTACCTTGGCTTTCTCAGCCTCATGGTCATTTAGTTCAAGGAGACCTGGGATGTCACATCAAATGAGTCTTCTAAAGTGACCAAAAGGCCTTGTTATGCTCTTGTACTAGTTGATTTCATTATTACCAGCAAGAACTCATGTAACATTTACCATGTGCCGGACAGTGCTCTAAACACTTTGCAAATGTGAACTTAATGAATCCTCCCAAGCCAAGGAGGTATGTGAATGAGATAGGCGATACCATAAATTACTATAAACTCATTTTATGGGTGAGGAAGCTGAAGCATGGAAAAGGTAAAAAACTCACACAAGGGCACGTAGCTAGTAAGTGGTGGGGGAAGAATCCCAGCTCTCACTCTGTGTTCTTAGTCACTATCTGTATTGCCCATCTAAGAAAGCAAAGCCAAACCAATCAAAAGTATCCTTCCTGCTCCAAAAATAATCCTCCAAAAACAAACCAAAACTACCATTATTAAAAAAAAATTTTTTTAAGGTCATTTCAGAGGAGAATAGATACAGCAACCTAATTTGAGAGCATACTCAATACAAAGATAGAATCATCTCACGAGTCTTTTATCTTCTATACACTCACTGATCCATTCCAACAAACTCTTCGATCTGTTAACAAGAACCCAGCACAACCACCAGTATCTATTCAGCACATGCCGAGAATTACCTCACTTAATTCTCCTTTCACTGAAGGCTGGTTTAACTCACAGCTTCTTCGCTAAATAGTAACACACCAAAGAGAACCTTTCTTCCAACATAATTGCACTCAGCATAGTGTGTCTATGAGCCCAGATAGAATTATCGCATCTACTTTGAGGAACAGGAGAGAAAACAGACCCACACGGTAGTGGCCTTTTACTGCCACCTCTCAGGGCCTGCCTAGGTAAAAACCCACATTGCTGGTTCCTACCAGAATCTCCTGATGTTTGGGGGAAAGTGTTAAGTTAGGAGTTCTGAGCCTGAATTATAACTGTGTGCTGTGCAATCCAGGGCAGGTCATAACCTCTCTGAATCTATTTCCTGCCTTTCTCATTTTTTTAAGGTCCAAGGGAAATAACATTTATGAAAATGGATGAACTGTAAAGGGGTAGAAAATGTAAGGTAATATTATAGATGGTTTAAATAAACATGATCATAATTATTATATTTACCTACAGGCCATGTGACTGCTGCTTCTCCTTCTCCACCCCCTCAAGTAAAAACTTTTTGAGGGCAGGAGCCAGGCCTTATCATTTACTCCCTCTAAGACTGTTCCTGGCACATAGTAGGGAATCAATAAATGTTTCTCGAATGAATACATTTCAAGAAGGGATTTTCAAAGGAAGCTCGAAGGTTCCCACCTAGGTGGAGAGGAGCCCATGGAAGGAAAAGCCGTTCACGGTACCTGCTTCGACCACATGGTCCATGGTCGGAAACCTTTTGTACACGGCCGTGCTCACCGAGCGGAAGATGAGCAGCGAGGTGAGGTTGACATAGCGCATCAGCGTCCTCCGGAGCAGGCGCCCGCGCTCGTCCCTGCCGTGCACGCTGCTGGAGATGAGGAACATCAGCCGGTCGGGCCAGGGCAGGTTCACAAACTGGTTCCACCAGCGGTTCACCACCAGAGTGACATAGAACCCTGCAGGAGAACCGGACAACTCTAAAGCACTTTCTGGGAGCAGACGCGTCAACGCTGATGCTTTTAGCAGAATTTTAGCCTTTTTAGGGGTTGGGGTGTAAAAATATGTTGTTATCCATACTTATGACTTTGCCCTCCAGGAAAAAAAAAAAAGTAATTTGTGCCTGGCAATGCCGCAGCACCCAGTAAGTGGGTATTAGAACTCAAAAAATGGGCAGCAAAGGTGGAGGGTTAGTGAAGAGAAAGCTTCATCGTCCAGTAGCAGATTATTACCTCAAAGTTGTTTGGTGTTAATTTAGCGAAAGCAGCCCTGAAGGCGAACCTTATGGCCGATTCTCGTTCTATTGCAAGCGGTGGCTTTTCAGGCATGCCTCGCAGCTTGGAAACACTCCCATGCAGAGTCATCGGTGTCATCCTAACGGAGACAGCTGTGTGGCTGCATTCTGCGTGTGACCTATACTTACCAAGCACAAAGGTTACTGGAATTTGTTCAGCATATCTGTCACAGTAAATTGATAATTTTTCAAAGAAACGTTTTTGGGCTCCTGTAAGTAACAATCTGGAGCAAAAATAAAATGCACAGCCCTTTATGATATTATACTTCTGCACCTGCTTTGCAAGTGATATTCAGTGCAAACAATTAAGCACAAATAATCGCTAAATTTTTTTTAAGGAGCAATAATTTTTTTCTTTTCTTCCTAAGCTGATGTATCTCAAAAGCTGAGTAGTTCAAGTACTAACGTTTTTAGCACATAATTGTTGTTGGCCATTAGACAGGTCTATTAAATATTTTATTTTTAAATACTTTATATTTTCAAACTTTTATATGATTAATGCGTTGGTTTTGGAGCATGATACCTCATAAAAGAATGTTTTTCAATGATTCTCCAGGTGTACTCAAGGAGAGAAAAAGTGTCTTGATTAAGAGGATTGCAGTTATTAAGTTATTATTAAATAATGACCCTGATTTTGATATCTTGATCTTACTTTCTCCTGAATTTGCCTCTCAGAGCATTCTTGATTTTCTGTGTTGTATTTCAAGGGATAGTATAACTTTATTTTAAAGCCTGCAATTATTTAAAATATAGAATAACAGATTTAACAATTAGAAGTGGAAATTTTTATTATTGTATTTGGTGGGTTTACATGAACATAATATAAATATAAAAATTTATCTCATAGACCCAACCCAAATTTATTTCATAATATTGTTAAACATAAATTCATTTAATAAGACTATTATTAATACTTATGTTGGAGGGAGGCGATTCAGCCAGAAGGAATGTCTCAAAGCAGGTTAATAATAATGATCAAAATTTGGAAAGAGAAGCAACAGAGACGAATCTGCCTCAATGAATGAGTGTAGCTGCTCCAAGGGGAGAAGGGAATCCCTTGGAAAGATCCATGTTAACAAGCTTCCAAGGCCTATTTGGGTCAGTAGAACTTTGATCAAGGAAGCAGAGGGATAATGAGCCACCAATCAGATTGCAGATGAAGAAATGGAAGCTGGTGCTGACAAAGAAGGGGTGCGGGG